GGGAGTAAAAGTACGAGGGCACAATAGGACAGAAATGACCGCGGTGCAAGGCTAAACACCACCTCGGCGGTGAGGAAAGGGTTTTAGTGGGTAAACAGCTTAGCTGGAGTCCCACACATACCAGAGCGACAGACCACCAACTCTGGGGGTGCATAAAAGAGCATTTCCCAAACCTCACCGGAAAAAAAATGTATAATTGGTTCCCCAACTGGCTTTCCGTGGCGGCTCAATAATGTTTTGAGGTGACATTTCTTTGGAGGCCCGTACAGACCTAGTGGTGATCCGAGGAAGATCATTAACTTCCCAAAAGAGTACATTCAACAGATTTTAGAAAACCATGTCGTACCTTTTGCACCTCACATAAGCGACAATTTCTTGTTTATGGGTGTAATGCTCAACCGCACCGAGCTCTGTTCGTGCGCGAATATCTTGATGAGGTTGCCATTCAGTCCTGATATTAACGTGATTGAACATGATTGGGATCAGCTTTTCAAGCTAGAGACGGGAATAAACGCTATTGAATAAGTTAAAGAAGCTTTACGTGAATTTAAAAATGTAATTTTCATAAATTTTGACCAAAAATCTGATAAACTAGTGATTCATGTTTTGTTTTAATTTTTCTTTCGAAAACTTCCCATATTAATTAAAAACAATTATTTAAATTTTGACGAAAGTATGTAGGGTTTATAATATATTTTCTTCGAAATTTATAGATAGTGCGCTAATTTTGTCCATCAGTGTATATCATTTGTCATCATTCAGCTTGGAAATGTAAAAAACTTTGGTTTTACGACCAGGCGTATTTTGCATATTGGCGCTAGGTCAGGCTGTACCTATAATATGTACATTTTGATACAGCAATACTTCATAAGGCAATAAAAGCGTCTGTTCTTTAATAAAAATACTTTTAATTAATAATTTAGTCAGTAATAATATCCGCTCCTTTTCGTCCTGATGGACTTTCTCATGATTCTTAAATTCCGTTTCGTTTCGTTTCGCACTTGAACCAATTATCGCTTCAAAAGAGACGTTTGCTTGAATGAGTCTCCAAATGGTTTTTCGCAGCTGCTGAACGTTTGAAAGCTTTATTGCATATCTCACAATGAAACTGTTTTCCCTTCGTATGCAAGGTTCGATGAGCTAGCAAAGCTTGTTTTTTTTTGAAACTCTGTTTGCAAATATCGCATTCAAAAGGGCGTTGGTCGGAATGAACCGACTTATGACTCCATAAATTTGAGGGTGATAAGAAACTCTTATGACAAACTATACAATCGTAATGCTTTTCTTTTGTGTGCAAATTTCGGTGAACTTTTAGCTCACGGTCGCTCTTATATGATGAACTACAAAAATCACATGCATAAGGGCGATCAACTGAATGCGTTGCCATATGAACATTTAAACTTGTAGAGTACAGAAACTCTTGCTGGCAAATCTCGCACGCCAACCGCTTTTCTCTTGTATGCTTGTTTCGATGCTGAGCCAAATTACTTTTCCATTTGAATCTTAAATTGCAAATGTCGCAAGCGTGAGGCCGTTCCAGTGCATGAGTGCGCAAATGTTCGTTTAATTCTAGCAGACCTCCGCAAGGTTGAGTGCAAATCTTACAATATAACGCATTCTGGGATGTCTTCTGATCTTCTGTGTTGAATGATCGACGTTCATCTGCTTTCATCTCAAAATGTTGAACCTCAAACGGATCATGTTCATCAATTGTGATTTCTTCTTTCATTTGAATGCACCATTCATTTTGGAATCTAAAAGAACACAGCAGTTGTCTTAAAATATACAGCATATAATTTTGCACATTATGCTATTTATGCACCTTTATCTATTATATTTTAGATCACATTAAAATTCGAGGCCCATTTGCAGGAATATATATTTAACTGGAACTCAGATTGACAACTCCAAACTCATAATTCATATCAATATGTAAAATTTTCACGTTTTTTGGTACTTTTTACTTACGTCCGTTAGATTTATTTACAATTTTCAAAAGTTTTCTAATTAACGTTTAACCATAATACCATATTTAGCGTGGCATCGGTTATCCAAGACCGTGTGGGTTTCTTCTACACTTGCACTACCACTCTGAAAGTGGTAATAAGTTAACAATCGAAACAAGAGCGGGTTTATTTTCAAAACTTAATGTTTGGATTTGTATCACAATAGTGTTTGTAACAGTATTAATTAGAGAAAAATTATTTATCCATAAAATGATTCCTCAACCTGATTGAGGTCATCAGAGCAAATCAGTGGGGGCAGTAAATGAGGAAGTTGTAGTTAGTTATGACGACCGATTCGCAGAAATACATTTCCAGATTTGTATACGTTAAGTTCTGCTTTCATCTACGGCTATAACAGCAAAAGAATAAGAACGTATTTTAGTGAGCGGCAATAGTAGTCAATAAAACTATTTAAAAATCAGATGTTTATTCCCCGAAAATTGTTAAAGATAAATTTACGATTGGTACATCAAAGATGATTAGAAACTGGTAGAGAATTGAATACGGCCTTGATATCAAAACTTTTCTTATAGAGACAATAGTTGAGAGAATGCGCAAATGCAAACAAAAATTGATGGGTCCAAGCAAGTTTTCGAAAAATAAACTCCCGCTTTTTAAATAATTATATACAGAGTGTCCGTTTTTGAGGCCAACCATTTGGGGATCTCGGTAACCATACGAGATTGGTTAAATTGGGGCAAAGTTGCGCAGTCTAGAGCTTACTAAAATGATCATTGAATATTTTTAAAATATCTGCTTCTTCCGGAGATATCTGGAAGAAAACGAAATTCGAAAGAGTTTTAATTTTTTTCTTAGCTTATGTGACACGAAAGTGTAAAATCAATTCAGCTTTTGTTGCTGATTACGACAATGTATCACGTGTTAAAGTCTTTGGTGTTTGGTGGAAATAAAAATAACAAAAAATTCGGTTTTGCAAAGAGTGCGTTGGAATAACACCCACTCTTTTGCTTAATCAATAGATTTTAGTAAGCTCTTGACTGCGCAACTTTGCCCAAATTTAACCAATCTTGTATCTAGGATGGTTACCGAAATCTCCATGGTTGAGCTCAAAAAACTAACACCCTGTATATGCAATTTTTACCACTTTTATATGCAAACATACCACTCTCTTCCATAGCTTAAATATCCATTTTTTACGTTAAAGTAGAAATCCACGTTTGTGCATAATTTTTGAGTTTTCATGTCTTATCCATTTCAGGTTCGTCGAGATGGGTCTTTTCATGATTCTTAAAACTACGTTTCAATTTGAACCTCGAATTGCATTTCTCGCAATTAAAGGGACGTTCTTTTGAATGCGTTTTTAAATGATAAGTTGCCGCAGTTCGACCGGCGAAAGGTTTATTGCAAATTTTACAATGAAACTGTTTCTCCTTTGTATGCAAATTTCGATGAGTTTGTAAATACGGTTTTGTTTTGAAACTCTGTTTACAAATGTCGCATTCAAACGGGCGTTGGTCGGAATGAATCATTTTATGCGCCCATAAAATTCGAGACGATAAAAAAAATTTATTACATAAATTACAGTGGTAGCGTACTTCCTTCGTATGCGTATTTCGGTGAACTTTAAGCTGACGATTTGTCTTATACGTTAAACTACATAAATCACATGCGTGAGGTCGATCGTCTGAATGTGTTTTTATATGAGAAGTTAAATTTGATTTGCAACTAAACTCATGCTGACAAATCTTGCAAATGAGCGGCCCTTTTGCTGTATGAGTTTTTTGATGCCGAACTAAACCACTTTTATACTTGAATCCGAAATTGCAAATTTCGCATGTATAAGGCAATTTTTGTGTATGAGCTAGCGAAGGTTTCTGTTTATGACTATGCGTGTTTCGATGCCGAGCTAAATAACTTTTATACTTGAATCTTAAATTGCAAATGTCGCATGCATAAGTCAATTTCTGTATATGAGTTAGCAAATGTTCGTTCAACTGTAGTACATCACTGCACCGCGTACTACAAACATTGCAGCATAATCCATTCGACGTCGGTGCGTCATCTGCTTCCAATTTTAAACTCTCATGCATGGACAGATCATGTTCATCAATTGTAATTTCTTCTTTCACGTGCCAGTCATTTTGTAAGCTAAAACCGATATAATTAGTGCAAATTATACAGCAAACAAACATTTGAAAGTACTTTAATGAGGCAGCAATAAATATTTAACATGGAAAGGAATTGGCAGTTTGGAATAAAGTCTGATGGTCACTATCGGATTCAGTCTAACTGCTTAAAACGTCTATATTTACAAATCTTGTTTCCAATAATACACGTAACCATATCAAATAAATATACTCTATTAGCTAGTGTTAATATAGTCATCCGTATATTTAACAATACATAATTGGTGTGACTGTGACAAAGTAACAGCCAGCCAATGAGTAGCACTTAAGCGGT